AACAAGAAAGAAGGGAGCCCCCAACACACAGGGCTACCCATTTATTTAAAGAAATCAAATGTAGGGCTTCGCTTCACACCAGTCCTCAAAATATATTTCGTGAAGGCTATAGTCTGAACATTTGCCCTTCTCCTTCATTCATATGTTGAAAAGCTAATACCCAAGGAGGTACTAGGAGACGGAGCCTTTGGGAGGTGATTAGGTCCCCAGGAGAGTGTCCTCACAAGTGGGATTAGTGCCCTTATAAAAGAGTCCCGAGAGATTCCTAGCTCTTCCACCAGGGAAAGATGCCACGAGAGGCCTGCCGCCCAGAAGAGGGTCCTCGCTTGACCTTACTGGCACCCCGATCTTGGACTTCCAGTCTCCAAAACTATGAGAAATAAACATCTGGTGTTCATAAGCCACCCAGTCTATGGTATGTTATTATAGAGCCCAAATGGACTAAGTTAATTATACATGGATTAAAAACCTAAATTAATAATAATGATGGCAATGAGGACGATGAATAAGAGGCCTAAAGAAAGCAAAAAGAAAAAAAGGTTGAAATGTGAATACATCAAAGTTGAAAATGTCAAGTCATCTTTTGTCATGCCTAAGTTGAAAGTTAAGAAATTCAAAGACAAGCCACAGACAGGAAGAAAGTATTTGCAACATTCATAACAGCTAAAGGAACCACATCTACAATATGTAGAGAACTCTCAACAGGAAGCAAGGGATATAGTAGGTAATCTATGTAAAAGAAAACAGAAATAGTAAGTGTCTGAAAATATACACAGTTTATTAGCAAACCACGCAGCAGTAAATTAAAACAGGAACAATGGTTGTATCAGACTGGCAAAAATTAAAACTTTTCTTACTAGCATTGGTGGGCTTGAAGAAACAGTTTCTCTCACACAAGGCCTGCAAGATTATAAGACACAACTATTAAATAAAAGTTAGGATATGTATAGCCTTCAATCAGCGACTGTACTTCTGAGAATTTACCTCAGGGAAACCCTGACCCATATACCCAGAGAGGGATACGCAAGGCTGGGTGTTCTTACAGTCCAAAATTAGACACAGACAAACACCAACAGTCCAGCAATGAGAAATTTTCTGTTAAATCAAATTCAGTAATCCACTCCACGGGATAGGATAGAGCAACTTAAAAGCATGAGGTAGATACACACGTCCTTACATGAATAGTTCTCTAATTCACCTGTAAAGTGAAAAGCAAGTTTGTGGAACAGTAAAAATAATACGTCATTTAGGATACAAATGGATATAAACAAAATAAAATGAAATATTCCCATAGCTAATGCATATATGGCTTCATTTAAAAGCCACCTGGAAAGATACCAAGAAGCTGTTACCAGTATTAATTCTGCAGAGAGGACCAGAACGAGGGACAGGTGGGGACAGGGGTGAAGAACATTTACCCTGCGTTCCTCTCTTACACAAAGAATGTGTTTGGGTGTCATCTGCACAATGGAAGATAAATAAGATCTGGAACCAAAAGAGAGAGAGAGAGAAAATAGCTGGAGTCCTTCATTTAAAATGTGTGTTTTTCCTCTGATTTCTTTTTAACTGAAATATGTTTACTGCCCCTCTCCCGACTCCTGTTTCAGTGATGCAAGGAAGAGTGGACTGAACTATATTGAACTTCCTGGATCTGATCTAGTAGTGGCTAGTTTTATTTTTACACCATTCTTGGCACAGAAGCAGAGCATCGAGTTGCAAGGCCGAGGTCTACTATGTTCCACATCCTAGCAGGATAGGTTTTTATTAGCCCTCTATAGCACTGGCCCCATTTTTTCTTCTTTAGCTTTTTCTTCCAAAATTGTGATGCAGAGTCTTCTTGCAGCTCACATGGCTTTCCTGGCCAACCCTTCATGTGTTGGTTTCTGGTCCCAGCCGGGCAGCACTCCGGAGAAAAGGCTGATCCTAACAGGGTAACTTCTCCAATACTCAGGAGCCCCTTTTCACCCACGCTTACAACTAAACTGATCCTCTTCACAGAATACACTCTGACATGAGAAAAAACACCAGGCTTAAAATGGGCATTTCGTAAACTCGTTTTTGCTAATTAGAGTCAATAAGATTTGCGGAGCCAACAATAAAGAGGAAAGAATAATGAAAATAAGTGCATAGCGGGTACAAAGCATACATCTGTATCCATTAAGATGATGTGCATGTTTATCTGTTTCCATCAATCCCAAACAGGCTCTCCATGTTTCACCAAAGCTACTTAAAACTACTCGCTAGCTCTGATTTTTAATTCCTGACTCTATCGTCTGAGCTGCCCAACTTCTTTGCTGCAGGGTTAGGGAAAGGACCATGTCATCGCTGTCCCTGAGGATGAAAGCAGGGGCTTATGGGTGGCTGTGCTCTGTGGCATAATGTAGCTACGACAGGCAAGAGGATATGGGTAAGACACAGTGTAAAGTGTTAGGATTTTCATTCAGTGTTATAAAAAGAAAGATCTTGGAACAATTTTTTTTTTTACCAAGAGCCTCTTAAAACCACTCAGCTTGCCTCAGAGCAGACTAGGTCCTGGATATTTACTAATCAAAGCATTTCAGCACAGGCTTCCTGGACAAAAAAAGAAATGTGCCGGGAAGAAGCGGGAAAGGAGAAGAGAGGCGTGTCACACTGAGTACCAGTATAAGCTTCCAGGCCAGTGGAGAACATAATGTGTAAAATCAAGGGATAAACTTACAAGTATCCTGGTTTTTCTCTGATATATCATCGCTATGGGACATATGCTCTAGATTCACATTACTGAGGGTAACTGTCAGCAAAACATATTTTAAAGAAAGTGGGCCTGTAAGTAACCTTGTGACTGCACCACTCGGCCAGTGCCTTCAAAAGATCTTAGGCAAAAACATGGGATAGAAGCTTGGCTCGCCTCCCTCACTCGTGAGCACCAGTGACTTCTCTTAGCACACACTCACTCTAACACACCACTTACAGGAGTCCACCTCCCTCGAGGGAGAAGCATTGCTCCTTCTGGTTCCAGGACTGGGCTTAAAGCCAAAAGAAAATGACAACCTTGGAAGCACAGAAAGTTTAATCTTTCTTTCCCTTAAATCCTCTCACCTTTTGGTTACTGATATATGATCACTGACTAAAAAAATAAACCTCCAACCTCTAATACGTGACTGAGGAATGCCTAAGGTATTTAAAATGTAAAAAATAAAATTTACCGGCTCTTAGCTAGAACTGTAAGAGGAATATCCATAAAAAGAAAAGTAATAAGGATAAAAGAAATTGGTACTGCATTATTGTTTTAATTGGTCACAATGAGCAGCACAACCAAGAAAAAAAGGTTAGTATAAAAAAACTGAAAGAAATTTCCCTAACTATGAAAATAAGCATGAGTCAAAACACTGGGTTTATAGAACAATGGAGAGGCATCAAAGATACTTTGGCCCTAAAACCTTTCTCTTTCTTAAGCAAAGAAATACTTATGATTGGTCCTACACAAGGGCTTAACTGAGTTGCCATGAATTATTTAAAAACCCCAAATACCTTCTGTTGCTTTTACAGAAGCTTGATTTACCAGTTAAAAAAAATCAAACTGACAGTTTAGCCTCTTGTATGCACACTCAAACTTTTAAAATGCTCTAGGCATTATAAATATATCTTTCATGAATACAGCTTCAACAATTCTAAAAATAGCTTTTGGGAGGAGAAAAAAAACCTCTTTCAAGCCATTGTTTTATACATAACAGCAGGAAACCAAACAGAATGTCAAAGCCAGAGTGATTAACACACCCAGTAATAAACATGAACATTGAGTATGAAGTCTCACTCAAATACATTTTTTGAGATTAGCACGGAGTCTACGGTTTAGCCCCAACTTCTGTGCCCAGAGACGATTCCAGGGAACCCAAATTCAGTAGGAAACTCTGGAGCCACAAGGCTAAGAAACTTGCCTTGTGATGATGTGTAAACAGGCCCCTTCAGGACTAGCCCTGGGTAGCAGATGTCACTCCACAGCACCCAAAGAGCTTCGTCCAGATTCAGCCCCGACCCCAAACACGCCATTGCACAAGGCCAGTTCTGTACCACTGCTCACAGGTGCAATCCAGGTTGCCAAGAAAGCATAAGGACAGACTGACAGATTTCAGTAACTCTGGGTATAGAGACCTAACGTGGGGATGCGAAAAGGCTAATAGCACCTCACAATTTGGTGCCAGGTATTTTATTGTGCTCAATGTGTATTCAGTGCTCTAGATAAAGCTTATCCTAGCTCGAAATATCACACTTCACAGAGCCCAAACATTCTGTGTTCTGTAGCCTCATAGTTTCAAGTACAGAATAGACATTGTCTCTTGAAATAATAACCACTTTTTATGAATATTCTGGTCTAACTGCCCATTAAACACCAAATAAATCTTACAATCTCCAGACATCCCACTTTTTAATAATTCAATATGGAATCATCTCCATCAGTTTCATAATAATGAAATCCTAAATTTATGATATGGTGAATGGAAAGCTAATGTGTAAAGAAATTTCTGAATTATTGAAGTGCAGGCTAAAGGAATCTTATTCTTGATTTTCTAGTGAGAACAAATGATCAAGGCCAAATTCTTGCTCAGGATAGGAGAACCCTTAGTGAGCAGTGAAGGGCAGAAGGAAGAGAAAGAAAAAGCCAGAGCTATAGACATTAAGATCAAAAGTGTTTTCTCATCATTCTCTTCATTCTTTATGTGTAGAGTTGGAGGAGGGACTTAAATCAGTAATACCGGCTAGTTTTCTTCTCCAACAAATGTAATTCACATTCCCCTGTTCTTCACCTCAAAAATACCAATTGTTCTATGATTTAGCAGATCTAATATTTCTGACTAGCATCCTTGGAAAATCCTAAAACATTTCCACATTAGGTATACTTTTTAGGTAGAATCTTTAAATAAATTACCAAGGGTTATCTATGGAATGGATATACTTATGTAGATAAAATAACTTGCAAATCAGCAACTAGATAATGTAAGAAAGACGTGTATATTTTTTACCTTGTTTTGATCTGTCCAGTAAAAGAAAAATCCCTGAGGGTCAGACCTCAAAATAATTGGAGTGACAATCGTAGAGTCCTGGAAATGGAAGGAAAAAAAACATGTATATCAATACATATCACTGTAGAAAGTCCCGCCCAGCAGTTACTTAACAAGTAATAGTCTTCCATGGTTTCTACAAGGGAATCGATTATTAATAAAAATTCCAAAAAAATTAAACATGGCATCTTTGATGTCATAGGACTATTAATTACTAAACTGAGATACTTTAGTAATAATTAGATAATTTGGACATTACTTATAAAGGAAAAGCCCAGTGATTCATATATTTATTAATTAAGACTAGTTTTTTAAAGGCAGTGACATGTTTTCTCTAAAAAGCTATATTTAGTTTTCCAAATCATTTAAACATTAAATACCATTACATATTACGATTAAAATTAATTAAAATCCATGCTGGCAATAATATTTGAAATTACATTTGCTCTATAAAACTATTTTTAATTGTGCTAAAGACAGTAAACATAGCATTTGGGCCTTGTTGTTTCCAAGGTAACAGTAAATAAGGCCATCTTCCACATATCCAGAAGGCTATACACAAAATTGCTACAAATTTAAATTTCACATCATGAAATAAAACCTCAGACAAATTTACAGCATGCACATTATAAAGCAAAAACTGCATATACTGTAATTATAATATCAAACATTTCTAAAATCTGTGTTCTTTCCTTTTGGCAATTTTCAGAAAGACATACCATCTGCACAAGAAAACACGTCATTGGATATGGGTTTTTATACTGAAATACTTAGGCCTTTGCAGGAATTGCATTTTTTAAAAAAGAGACATAAATTACCAGTGTCTTTCCACTTTTTCATACACATTATAACCACGATATCGCTTATCCTTTATCTGATCAAAAGGACTTGTAATGAAAATTAAAACATGGAGAGATAATTCAGGAATTTGGGATTCTTTTACTGGTGGGTAGAGCAGATTGATGGTTTTAGTCTACATGGTAAATTTTGTTGCAAGAGCCAGGTCATAGAAACCAAGCCCCTGGGTTCAAATTTCTGCCTGTCTCTTCTTGGTGCTTCATTCTACACAACCACAGCTGGAAAAAGAGAGAGAGAGAGTAATAGTACCTACCTCAATAATGTAAGTTTTTGTGAAAATTAAATAGGATCATTTGGGTAAACACCTGGACCAATATTTGGCACACAAAAAATGTATATTATTGTTCTAGTGAATTAGGGTTACAAACTGCTTTATTAAAGATATTAAGGGAAAGTTTACCATGACATTCCTTTTTTACTAATGCAAACATATGAAACATAAAACTTACCATTTTTAAGTGTCAAGTTCAGTAGCATTAAATTAACTACACTCATCACTACCATCCATCTCCAGAACTTTGTTCCTCTTCCCAAACTGAAACTCTGTACTCCTTAAACACCCACTCGCCCTCCCTCCCCCTACCCCAGGAAATCACCATTCTACTTTTTGTCTCCATGAACTTGACTACTTTTGGTACTTCAAGGAAGTACAATCATATAGTACTTGTCCTGTTGTGTCTAGCTTACTTCACTAGCATAATGTGTTCAAGGTTCATCCTTATTGTAGTATGTGTCAGAATTTCCTTCCCTCTGAAGGCTGAATAGTATTCTATTGTATGTGTCTATCACATTTTGTTTACTCATTCATTCATCCATGGACATTTAGGTTGTTTCCACCTTTGGGATTTTGTGAATAATGTTGCTATGAACATGGGTCTAAAAATATCAGTTTGTGTCGCTACTTTCCATTGTTTTCAGTATTTATACCCCGAAGTGGTATACCTGGATCACAGTTCTCTTACTAGACAGGGGGCCTGGGCCTGAGCCAGTGTGCCTACGGCCAGCTGGTAGTGGGTCCTTCACTTGGTGTAGGAAAGATTTCACAACACAAGTTCAGGCGGCAATACAGGTACATTTATTAAAGCTGGGGACAGTGCAACAAGGAAGAGCTTAGCATAGAAGAAGCAATAGAAGAGCCCAGGCTGAGCTGCCTTAGCTCACGGGGAAGTCAGAGGACAGGGGGCTTGGGGAACAGGTTCAGGGGATTAGCCTCGGACAAGCTGCCACTGCCCATTGCCTTACAGTTTAAGAGATGCTTGCCTGTGGAGAAAGAAGCAGGGGAAGAAGAAAGGAAAGGGAACGGTGCAGGCTCCCAGAGGGAGAGAACTTTGTCTTGAGGCTTTTACCTCTTTCTTGCAGGTGGGAATCTTAGGGGTGGTCTCAGGGAAGGGTTTCAATAGTCTATTCATCAGTTCTCCAGATGCGCCCTTTCAGGGTCATGGTCTCCACCCACTGGTCAGTAGGGGGGGGGCAGGGGACAGGAGGGGACGTGGTCATTAGTCACTGCAGCTGGTCGATAGGGACACCCACCTGGTTTTGCTGCTTTTATGGGCCTGGAGCTGCAACACAACTGAGGCCTGGATGTTATCTCTAGGGAAGTGACCTTCTACATCTGGCTGGAAATTGCTCCTCCGGTTTGTTCAGCTCTCTATCTCAGTCTCCCTGCTTCATTTGCCAAGGAATTCAAGCTTCTTACTATCCTGTCTCAGTTCTATATTTAATTTTTTGAGGAAATGCCACTCTGTTTTATCTCGATATTCTTAAGATTCACTCTTGACATGCAGTTTCCAACAGGCTGGGCACAGCGCACACCCCACTTCCAGGTGAATTTGGAATTAACTGCAGGCGTAAGTTATTCTCAGGTCAGTTATTTTCTTATTAGAGTGACAAGATTCTACCCAAAATCTTAGTGACCATTCCCTGCAAGATCCCAGACAATCAAATATTTGAAGTTAAAATAGTAAATAAAACTGCTCAAAATTTATATATTTGGAACACTGTAACTGCCTCATTGTTTCAGATACAGCCATTTCTAGATTATTCCTTCTCCTCCTTCAAAATTAAAGCTCCTTTGTTCAACATTTTCTTGACCACACTCTTCCAGACACAGTTCCTCTGTTAAATGATCATTTATCTCGGCTCCCTGCCTGCTTCCTCCATAATCACCTCTAACATTCCAAGATCAGCTAGAACTTGGCATTCTTACCATGCAAGGCAAGATCTGACCCAGAAATACACGAATATCCATTTTCAATTCCACCTGCTTTTTTTTCCAACCTCCCACATCGTGGCAAGTTTCTATATTTTCTCCAAACCAAAGTAGCCACTCAATCCAGATCTCAAGTATTTTTAATTGTCAGAACAGGTGCTCCAGTTTGAGGTTTGAAATACATGGTCACCCTTCATGTCCAAGGCAACTGCAGATGGATTAGGACTCTCACAGCATTTTACTGCAGAAAAATGGAGACAACTTTCAGGCGGGCTGTTTTTTATTTTTTTATCTCTCCATCAATATCTATGAGATGTGCAGTCCACCACACGCTAGTTTTCAAACTTTTGAACACATCAGACTTTACCAGGAGGGCTTGCGAGAATAGATTGCGGGGCCCTTTCTTTCTCTACTTTCTCATATAACAAGTCTGGGAAGGAGACTGAGAATCGGCACCTCAAGTCAGCTCTCAGTGCTGCTGCTGCTACTGCTGGTCCAGGGACCCCCCTTGGAGACCCACTGGCTGAGGCTTTGGATCAGGAATACAGTGAAATTAAAATGTAAGCACACCCATGTCTTGTAAACACATGGCCTAAGAATGCAACTTTCATTTGCTCATTTAAAGTCATAAGGTACTGTTTCCAATAAACACCCACCTTGAAAAAAAGAACTGTAATATGTATGCCTAAGTTAGTAATAGTGCATGATGTACAGTAAATTTCCATCTACTCCTTTTTATTTGGTAGAAACCATTTTACTCTCATCCCTAGTTCATCACTGGTGAAGACTAATATAATGATGAAAAGGTTGTGCAATTTGCTGTTTTGCAACTCACATGAATCCCCAAACAGAAAAAAAAAGACAGTCAAGGAACAAAGAACCTCAACATCCAAAATAAGGAGCAATATCTGAGCAAGAAAAAGAGTCACTGGAGTCAACATTGACATTACAAAGTCCTACAACTCTTCATCACGATGGTTGTCTCATCAGTGTGCAGTTATACATCAATCATATATCCTAATATGTTATATGATAATTATATCTCAAAAGAGATGAAATGTAAAAATAAAGTAAATCACGTTGAAACAGAATAAAACATTATTTAGAAGATGTGTATATATATACACATGTATGTATATACATATGTGTGTATGCATATATATATGTGTGTGTGTGTGTGTGTATATATCCTAAAGAAACCGGGAGAAAAATGACAAAGGCTCTAGTAATCCACACTCCCAGTACCAAAATATTCTTTACAAACCCCCCTGACAGTATAATAGACACAAGCTGAACATGTGAGACAATCAATGCAATATGAATATTTAATGGATTTTCTCCTTTATTACTTATAATAATTTAAGACGTAGATACTATTATTATTCCCATTTTACAGATAAATAGCCCAAGGTTCACATTAAATAACTTGCCCAAGGAAACACACCTAAGCTAGTAAGGGAAGCGTTGGGAACTAAACCTTTCAGCACCCGCTCCTATGCCAGTGAGGCTCAACATCGTCGCATTATTGCCCTTCTAAAGACTTTTTAAATGTTTATTTTCATAATCATCTCCATGAAACTTCAATATCACAGATATGCCAAATATCTACTTATATGTTGTATGTATATCTGTGCTTTATACACAATGAAAGTAAAGACCATTTTTTACTCCTCAAGGATTGTCTACCCTTCTGTGGAGACTTCTGACAGCACCTGTTCTGCACCTGCACTGCCCAGGTGGGCTCCCTGAGCCAGGTGTGCCTGTGAGCGTTTGCAACATGGCCAGCTGCACTGAGATGTGCTGTAAGAGTCAAAGTGAAAATGAAAACAAGCATATAAAATTGCTCACTGATTTTTTTTTATTTTAGGGAGGGAAAGGGAGGGAGAAAGAAAGGGAGAGAAACATCTATGTGAGGAAGAAGGACCGGTTGCCTTCCGTACGCGCCCTCACCAGGGACCTAGCCCACAACCCA